GGGAGCCATGTTAGGCTAGGTGTTACCAACATTTATAATGTTGGACATTGATGAGGACAAACACATGTTCTACTGAAAATCTACTTCAGATATTTTTAAAATGACATTACAGTTGTGAAAATATTTAAGACATCATTCAAATTAAATAAAGAAATTAATAAATTCTGAATGTGTTCCGTTAAAATAAATAGTCGGGGTTTTCGGTAAGCCGTCGACAGCATAGGTTAATTCAACGCTGTTTCTCTTTCAGTCCAATTTACATATATTTTGCCAGAATAAACCTTGGTAAATTATATTGATTCCGTTATGAATCTCAGTTGTAAGCTCTTCGGGATTAGAAGTCAGAAGACTACACGCTCTGAAGAGGGCGCTGTCCCGTTAGATTTGATGACCCTCCCGCGCTCTGTCATTACGTTATTGTTTGATTAACGTTGATCAGCTGCACGCGCCATGAAACGTTTTCCACAATATATAATAGCATTCGTGTTTAAACGTTGATGAAACGGCATACCTTAATCACCAGCAGTGTTAATGTGCCGCGAATTTCCCGGTCTCGGGGATAATACGCTGTCTCGGCATTTTAAGTACGGAGTAAAACCCAGCAGTTGTATCACAGGAAACACTTGCAGGTTATGTAAGAAAATCATTTTCCTATTGCCGCGTTTAAGTGATCTTTCAAAATTAATAATGTTTGAACTTTTTTGTGTGATTAATCTGTATCTTTCTTTAAAAATGTGCTTCAGAATTTTAGGAAATATTGCTAACGGGTTACTGTTAAGACATCGAATAATAGATATAAATCCTCGCGAGGTAAACAAAAAATAACCTATCCAAATACATTTTCTTTGACCTTTTCATGGTGTTTGGAAGTGACACGCAATTTAAATAATCATTTTGTCCTCTGGATATTTAGTGATTGTCGATGCATGGCCCTTCTGATTCATTGTATGTCACGTGATTAGTGGTTTAATGAAAATAAATATGTTGATGATTATGCGCTTCATGAGCCATAGTGGTTAGGAAGTGCGTTTCAGTTCAATTGTCAACACAACCCTCACAAGGACAATCCTTGAGTCTTTCATTGCTTAATAAGGCAATACGCAGAAATCCTGCAAATGAAAATATTATCATAGATTCAAACTCCATTGATTCAGTATTAGGACATTATACAGGATGGTGATTAAACGTTGTAATGAGGAAATCTAGTTGTTTTCACTGTTTGACATTGATCCAGAAATTATATTAATCTCATCACATGTCGAGTGCAGCGTTTAAACCAATCCACGCACAACACACTGCGGAGTAAATAGTCTAGTTTTAGTTTACACAATGGCACCATGCCATATACACAATGCATCTCGCCTATAGTCCTTGAAAGAGATCTTGCCACAATATGGTGCGGTCTTCGTAAAAGCCTTTCATCAAAACCAGTAATTTCCACATACCACATTCCAAACAACTAGTATTAATTCAGAAACGACGGAAGGATCTCTGATGGTCCGTGTATTTTGGTGACAGTTTTCAGTTTTACTTCTAAATGATTCACTACTATACAAAGTAAACCTTTTATGCGAACACGGAGGGAAGACACGGACTGTAATTATCACGTGTCATCGTTTTTAAACCAGAGAGACGTTACGTAGGGTAATCCTAACATTCACTATGGGTGGTTTGAATCTCAGACATCAAAACACAATTAGCATGTTTTGGTGCTTAAAAGATTTTTAGCAAGCGCCTACTGTTTTGGATGCATAACATTCGGTAGAACAGTCGTAGCTAGCGAATGTTCGATTTTTTAGATCAGTTTTTAGACGGAAATGCCCTACACTGTTTGAGACGCATTACGGAACTAGCTGACGCTTAATGCTTGGGAGGGTGGGGGGCAATTGATCAGGAGAAGAGGGTTACATGGGGGAGAGGCCATTTCGCGAAATTGTTTTTGAATAAATAAATACACGAATCCGTGTGGATTTCTAAATTGAAAGAATAAGTTCACATAGAAATCTGTACTAAAAACATTCAGTGTGAAACAACAATCAACAAAGAAATGTTATATATTAACAACTGTTTCCTAAACTTAACTAGGTTTACAACCTGATACAAACTACTCACATAATGACAATGACAGTCCACAATAGAGTTGCATGACATGACGAAGCTGATCTTCACACTTCCGCTGGTCTCAATATAAACATATTTCTTTACTATGCTAGTGCAGTTTATACTTCCAGATAACGCGACTCCAAGTGTAACTACAGCAGCTAACGCACCACTCCCCGATGCTGAATCATAACAGAACAAATGCAGTACAATTACAACATTGTTTTACTATTGATTACATTTGTAAAAATACAAAACAATTGCAACATTGTTTTACTATTAATTACACTTGAAACAATACAGAACAATTATAACATTGTTTTACTATAATTACACTTGAAACAATACAATACAATTACAACATTGTTTTACCATTGATAATACTGCCATATAACCCTTGTAAAACGTATGACACTTTTAATGAACACATTTTTCACTCTTTTCAATAACGAATTTGTAAAAGTTGAAGGTTAAACGTCAAAGAAAGTATATCTTCTTCTATTCTCTGTCTATTTATACTTGCAAAAACTGAGTTAAAAGATGCATTACATGTGCAATAGTGCAGGAATATATATTGATAGTGACTTGACCCTTTCAAATATCTCCCGGGAAGGGACAATAACAGAATAAAACGTACTCGGCCAAAAAGTAAAATATAACTGGACAATTATTTCTACAAATATATCAACGTATAAGGATAATCGGAATATCAGTGTAGTGAACAGAGAGGTAAAACATTCATAGATAGTCACGTGTTTGGTCGTCAGAGGATTATGTCAAAGGTTGCCATTGCTAATCATGTTCAAGAGTGGGTTCGTGACGTCATACAATACACAATTTTAACCCACTGATGTCAAGCACCTGTGTACGTCGCGGACTTCTCTCAGATACGGAACAATGATTAAAGTTTTCTTTTCAAGACAGAAGTTGTTCATTGTATTGATACCATTGTATTGTAAATGCCTTTTAACTTTCGAAGACATAATCAAAGTGACAAGAAGACAGTGGACGACGTTACAGGGACGTCGCTCGCCGCATGACATTCACCAACATGATTGTGGTACCGACTAGGAGCTGTGAGCTAATACTGACATCCCGTAAGTAGACGGCACCAGAGTACAGCTATTCATACCAACCAGTTTCTGTTATTCCCTTTCATTGGATGAAGTTAGTTTCAGCAACATTTAATGAACAAATACAAATGAAAAATTACATACTCCAGGGAGAATAGTTGGGTTTTACCAAGGTTATGAAGAGGTTTTCGAGAGGCATATAGAAGTTGGTATGCAAGTATACTCATGCCAATAATGGTTATCACCCCCTTTAATTTTTATTGGAGGGGTATGGGATTGGGGTGTGGGGTTGGGGTGGGAGGGGGTGACAACCATTATTTGCATGAGTATATAAGACAAAATAGTATGGATGTCAACTTTTTCTTTCTTCACGTTGTGTATACAATAAAAAAGAAGTTGATATCCATAATATTTTGTCTTATACAATGATATGAACTTCATACTTATTACACACTTAAATAGTCGTGCGGAATTAATACCACCTTTTTTAGCACTGCATATTATATATATGATCTCTCTAGGTGCAACATCTCTCTGTGGTATGCTGAACGGGGGTATCAGCCCGATATCGCGTACAGAAGTGTTTCCTTGGTTTAATTCAAATCGTACATTTCATCGGATGCACATATTTCATCAGTAGATCGCCGCGCGCACCCCCGTACAGAGCCTCAGTGGACAGGAAAATAGCATTTGGAAGGGAAAGTAAAACGCACTTCACGCTCTGTTGGGCTGTAAATGCGAAACAGCGGGTAGATATTGGGGACCGGCTCTGCCTATGCCCCTGACTGGCAGACGACATAGTGGTCGTCAGAACGGAAGCGTTAGCAAGCTGCGCTTAGTTTTGTTTGCATGTTCAATCTCGTTCCATCCTACTTTTACAGGCAAAGCGATGGATTGTCGCTCAATTAGCCATTTTCCTCTGTCGTTTGATGCCGTCTCGATCCAAACAGTTCTCTACCAAGTTATTGGGTTGAGCGTGTTGATGAAACTGTAGCGGTCTATTTCGACCCAGTGTCAGGTGCTTGTTGCCCGCCGTCCCCAAAATGGACTAATGCATTATTCGCGTGCGGCTACTTCATATTTTAAAAGCTCACTCGACTCGCTGAAACGAATCCAACAGATTTGTGTGGATGCTTAGCCTTACATGGCGTCCGTTAAAATTTTCTTTTGATTTGTAATCTTTGCTTGTTGTGATCAGAAAATAAAGCTTAAATGATCAAATTTCAAAGGACTGTCCAAACACGGCCGCCCCATCACGGAAGGAAAACCACTGGTCTCGTCTGTCACAAACACCAACCAGTCGCGCCTGTCCGTCACCTTGATCAGAGGACTGTTACCAGGAACACAGGAATTTAGGTCTTAACCGAATTTTGTCAACCAGGTTTTTTTCACAATCAACAATACTGTTGACAAATAGCAATTGTATTTGAAAGGAAATTCATTATATATAGGGGTAGACTGGGACCCCAGTGAGGTCTCTCGGAGCTTGCTTTCACTGTGTTGCAACCACTAGTGGTTTTCTTTGTCAACAGTTGTAGTGATATGTCACTGATTTCCCAATTGGTAGTAGATGTGTAACTGATATGTGCTTTGTATCGTTCTATAATGAGCTTAGCTTTGCTTGTGTGTTTAATCAAACGAGTAAGACCTACGTCTCATCGAACTTGATCCCAACCCAAGCGCTATGGCTGAAATACTGAGGGAGCAGCATTGATGTGGGAGCCATTCCATAATCATTACGAAATATTTGCCCAAAGTGTACAGTTCCAGCCATATCGTAAACATGCTTGATGAATTGTTGTCCAACATTGACGGTACCAGATGCTTGATGAATTGTTGTCCAACATTGACGGTACCAGATGTACCGAGGGTATTCTGCCATACCAGTGACTCTTGTCACGAACATGTGCAAAAAAAACCCATTCACCTGAAAAATCAACAACAAACAAATACGAGAATATATTTTTTTCACATTAAATCAAACAATGTTAGAAAATGCCCTACTCCCTGGTTACCTATTAATGAGATCTTAATCCATGTACGCGGAATACCCTATGTTCTGTACATCTTTGTTCGCAAATAGGAGTTGTATTTTTTATTGCAAAGTTTCAGATCCACTGACTATAAAAACCAGGAAGGATTAAAAAAACAAAGCAAAAAACAACGGCTGACCGACTCACATGATCGCTTAATATCGCCCAACGCTTGGCAGTACTCCCTGCAGTGTGGAGCATTGTTGCCATATAAAGCTTACAAAATGGTTAATGTTCCTCTTAGAAGTTCCTGTACCTAAAAAACACCAAGGTAACAATTAATAAGTTATCAAAAGAAATTCACTGTTCTGTTGTTCACAAAAACCGAAAAAATGAAAAGGGTAATTCATTTCGATCACCGACCAAAGGGTTTGAGAATAAAACAGAACAGCTCACATAAAGTCACTGAATGAGACACGGTGCATTGATGACGGTATTCTAACCGTAGGAAAATAAACAGAGCAACGCTGGTGAAAATTGCAAGGTAACAGGTTTCCAATATTGCTCCACTTGAAAGCACGGCGGTTTCTTCGCCATCAATACCTGTTTATAGGTGAACTACAGAACCTCGTACCTTCTCTGTCATGTCATGGACAAAGATCGATTCAGACCGAAACAACTAAATCAAACCACGGATATATGTTCTTGTTTGTTAAATGAATGATATCTTATATAAGCACTGTTTAACATGACACCGTCACGAAAAGCAAGCTTCAGATGCGGCGGTACGTAAGAATCCCTCACTCCCGCATGCCAAAATGTTAACTGTAAGCAGAGAAAACATATTTCTTACAGCAATCACTGTAAACAAACTGTTGTTTCTTGATACAAGTAAAATACAACAAGGCCTTCAACGCCCCCCGCACAGGTTTGATATACTGCATGATATCTGCTCCTCAAACGAATGTAAAGAACACCCTCCCCCCTACTTATACTCAATGTTTCAAGGCCAGATTATTTCTTGTCACTATAGGTAATCTGTCACGGCTTGGATGATTAGCTGTAATAGTATGAAATATCTGGGGGCTCCTAACATTTTAGTAGTATATGTATACACAACGAATTGATAAGTATGATAAGAACCCTTGAAAATGATATCAACCTTTTTGTCTTTTTGAGCATACACAGACTTTTTATTGGATATATATTAAAGCGCATGGTATGAGAACATATGAACACAGACTTCAGTGATCATACATGTATACACCAACCGTCTTGATGACCAGGCAGTGCACAGTACAGTCAATGCTGCTGACCTAACTTAGAACAATGTGTCTAATAATTCACAATGATTTGAAGATTGCACTTTGATTGGAACTTGGACATGAAAGGGAAGCTTGAACTTCCACGACAATGAAGAAATCATCTAAGATGCTCTGGAACTGAGCGTCGGTACTCGACGACATGTCAAGAAGCCGGAGTGGCTATCAGTTGACGACGATGACGGAGTCCGAACCCCGTCCCAGACAACAGGGAGAAGTCTCCACCCCGGGCTACAAGCTCAGTGATGAGGAGAGAGCCCTCGGACCCACCGACATGACCAGAAGAGCAGTTGAGAGCAGTTGAGGCTCTCGAGGATTCAATAGACCTAAATTGGGGTCAAACGTCACGACTTAGGGACATGTTCTAAGCTGTGTCGTGTAATTAATCATATTGAATAGGATACAATCGCTGCATCCTTCAAGAGGCGCCGGGTGTTGGGCTGTTGGCTTGTTTGTTTGGATAGGGATCAGGCTTAATGAAGATATTGTCGGCATTTGTTTGGTTGCTCCTTCACAATCGATATGTTTCTTTCTATCGCCGGCGTCGACTGTGCGTTTTAGTGAATCACTGTACACAGCGATAGCCCCTTGTCTGCTTTACAAAATCAGGACATCATTTAAGCTCTGAAAATACTTTTTTCTTTGAAACAAGTGGGTTTGTCACTGAGGAATCGATCCCGTTGTGTGTTACACAGAAGATTGCATTGGTGACTACCTAGCTTCGCATCTCTGTACAAGCGAGCTTTAACTCACTCACTTACTTACTTACCTACTTAATGGAAGACAGGATGGTCACAGAGGTGACACAGAGGTGGATACGGGTGGCGAGTGACATAGAGGTGGATCTTGGTGGATGGCGGGAGACAAGGTTATCTGGGTGGATAGAGGAAGACAGGTAGATACGGGTGGTGAGTGACATAGAGGTGAATCTTGGTGGATGGCGGGAGACAAGGTGATCTGGGTGGATAGTGGAAGACAGGTAGATACGGGTGGTGAGTGACATAGAGGTGGATCTTGGTGGATGGCGGGAGACAAGGTGATCTGGGTGGATAGTGGAAGACAGGTAGATACGGGTGGTGAGTGACATAGAGGTGGATCTTGGTGGATGGCGGGAGACAAGGTGATCTTGGTGGATAGTGGAAGACAGGTAGATACGGGTGGTGAGTGACATAGAGGTGGATCTTGGTGGATGGCGGGAGACAAGGTGATCTGGGTGGATAGTGGAAGACAGGTAGATACGGGTGGTGAGTGACATAGAGGTGGATCTTGGTGGATGACGGGAGACAAGGTGATCTGGGTGGATAGTGGAAGACAGGTAGATACGGGTGGTGAGTGACATAGAGGTGGATCTTGGTGGATGACGGGAGACAAGGTGATCTTGGTGGATAGTGGAAGACAGGTAGATACGGGTGGTGAGTGACATAGAGGTGGATCTTGGTGGATGGCGGGAGACAAGGTGATCTTGGTGGATAGTGGAAGACAGGTAGATACGGGTGGTGAGTGACATAGAGGTGGATCTTGGTGGATGGCGGGAGACAAGGTGATCTTGGTGGATAGTGGAAGACATGTAGATACGGGTGGTGAGTGACATAGAGGAGGATTCCTATCAGCGAATGACCTACCAACAGCTGACTGTATTAGGGCTTCATCCTACCAACGGCTGTCTGTATGAAGTCTTCATCCTATCAGCGAATGACCTACCAACAGTTGTCTGTCTGAAGTCTTAATCCTATCAGTGAATGGCCTACCGATAGTTGTCTGTATTAGGGCTTCATCCAATCAGCGAATGACCTACCAACAGCTGTCTGTATGAAGTCTTAATCCTATCAGCGAATGACCTACCAACGGCTGTCTGTATGAAGTTTTCATCCTATCAGCGAATGACCTACCAACGTCAGTCTGTATCAGGACTTCATCCTATCAGCGAATGACCTACCAACGGCTATCTGTATGACGTCTTCATCATATTAGCGAATGACTTACCAACGGCTGTCTGTATGAAGTCTTCATACTATCAGTGAATGACCTACCAACGGCTGTCTGTACGAAGTCTTCAAACTACCATCGAATGACCTACCAACGGCTGTCTGTATTAGGGATTCATCCTATCAGCGACTGACCTACCAACGGCTGTCTGAATGAAGTCTTCAAACTACCATCGAATGACCTACGAACGGCTGTCTGTATGAAGTCTTCATACTACCATCGAATGATCTACCAACGGCTGTCTGTATTAGGGCTTCATCGTCAGTGATATACCCACTGTTTCCAGTATAGAGTATTCACCCTCTTAACACGTAAGTTCAGGGTATGATAAAAACACCATTCTAGCAAAGAACAGTTGACTGGAATACAGTGGTAACTTGATACAGTAAGTGCGAGGTGTTCTATTATCCTCAATAGTCTCTGATGTCCAGTGGTTTCTCTACTTTTAAGTTTTATTCACCAAGTCCTTACATTATCTTCCTGTCATATTGAAATAAGAGTAATTTCAATAAATATAACCAGAAAAGATGTCACTACATGCTGATACAAACAGACGCCTTGATGAAGCTAACACTCAAAGACGTGGTTGATACTTACCGACACTATGTGGTGTATAACCACAGACGCCACGATATGGTTTATATCCACAGACGCCATGATGTGGTTTATACCGGGAGACGACAGGGACCTCTATGGAGCATGAGGACAAGCCAAGATCGGCAAATAGTTGAAACAGGAGCCTAATAAGCAGCCATCGTGATGACAAGCCGGGTGTATCACATAACCAGGCACAACAGTCAGCTTACAATACTCTTTTAATCTAGAGACTGTGTAACTTGTGCACTTTAGTATGTTACCTGTGTGAATGGACGCCAGGTGCCTTACGACACTGCGTTACATGAGTGTGTTCACATGCCGATGGTCGATGTCCCTTTTTAAGCATAAATGTCGTCTTAGTGTCTCCAACAGACATCAGTCATCCGGAGTTAGCCATCGTCCCACAGCCTGCTCCTCGCTACGACGGTGCTACTCACGCAGACAGAGATCTGGCCCACACTAATCAGGTGCGAGGACGATATATCTCAACAAGTAAAGCTGTCATGTTAGACACAGATCCGTATTCGAGAAAACAAACAGATCGGCTAGTAGCGGATATTATTGAAGGTGTACACTGTATAACAAAGACCCCTCTAAGATTGCGCTGACAATATTCCTTTGATGTGGCCGAGCAACGGATACCGGCCTTGTGGAGCAGCGTTAATGCTGTCCAACTCGTAATCTCATCAAAAGTCACACCAACCACTTTAATATTTTTCTACCTTCAAGAAAAGCAGTTTATTGATTAGTAGTTGGATAACAATATCATGTTGATATGTTGCCCGTGTATAAAACAATATTCCTGTACTGTACAACGAAGCTGAACAATCTTCCTGTACCCTAAATGAAGATGAACAATCTTCCTGTACTATACAACGAAGATGAACAATCTTCCTGTACCTTACAATGAAGATGAACAATCTTCATGTACCTTACAATAAAGATGAACAATCTTCCTGTACCTTACAATAAAGATGAACAATCTTTCTGTACCTTACAATAAAGATGAACAATCTTCTTGTACCTTACAATAAAGATGAACAATCTTTCTGTACCTTACAGTAAAGAACGACTATCTTCCTGTACCTTACAATGAAGATGAACAATCTTCCTGTACCTTACAATAAAGATGAACAATCTTCTTGTACTTTACAATAAAGGTGAACAATCTTCCTGTACCTTACAATAAAGATGAACAATCTTCTTGTACTTTACAATAAAGATGAACAATCTTCCTGTACCTTACAGTAAAGAACGACTATCTTCCTGTGCCTTACAATGAAGATGAACAATCTTCCTGTACCTTACAATAAAGATGAACAATCTTCTTGTACTTTACAATAAAGCTGAACAATCTTCATGTACCTTACAATAAAGGTGAACAATCTTCTTGTACCTTACAATAAAGATGAACAATCTTCTTGTACCTAACAATAAAGATGAACAATCTTCCTGTACCTTACAGTAAAGAACGACTATCTTCCTGTGCCTTACAATGAAGATGAACAATCTTCCTGTACCTTACAATAAAGATGAACAATCTTCTTGTACTTTACAATAAAGCTGAACAATCTTCCTGTACCTTACAATAAAGGTGAACAATCTTCTTGTACCATATAATGAAGCTGAACAATCCTCCTGGGCCATTAAACGAAGCTGAACAATCTTTCTGGACCTTACAATGAAGCTGCAGCAGTTGGACAACCCTTGATCTTCAGGCTGTCCTCCAGTTGCTGATCTCAGAACTGACGTATGGCCTTCAGGGATTAGCGCTGACGAAAATACTGGGAATGAAACTATGGTACCTTCTGAAACAACTGCTTGACTTCCTCGTGAAACTACATCGAATGAAACTAATGCTAATAGACGGACTGTTTATAAAACTATTTCCGAGGAAACGACTGCTTATGAAACTACAGCATATGAGCTAATAGCTAATATGACTACTGCTTTTAAGAGTATTGCTATTAAAACTACATCTCCTGGAAATCCTGCGTCTGAAACTGTTGTCCATGAAACTACATCTTATGAAAGTACAGTTTAATTTAGTTACATCTTAAGGTAGTAAAGCTTGAAACCACTGGTTATGAGGTGTCTTATTCAACCTAAACGTTCCTGCTCCTTAATAGACACTGGAGTCCGTGCAGTGTGTGTTCATCCTTCACCCCAATGTCTGTAACATTGTATATCACATCAATGGGTGCAGCACTAAACAGTCTGAGCCACATTGTGTCTTTTAGACCAGAGCCATCAAGTAATACAGAGCAGGACATGGTCACCATGTTGTCCAACACCCGGTGTCATCAATGTAACTCGTTAGTCCGTGGTTGATGTTGCCCTTCCAGTCTCTAGGCTCCCACTTCTTATCTTTGTGTTTCCGTGTTTATCGTGACGCAGCCATCTGACAAAGATATGTCCATTGATTGCAGGGTCGTCTCCACGACCATGATGAAGGTACAATGAAATCCTGAGAATCTCGACGCTGAAAACATCCCCACAGTACCGGTCGACCCTGGTGGTGTTAGGTGTGTAACAGTTGCCGCCCGATTACTCCGCTGAGTTCTAGTGTCACGAAATCCGGCCATAACACCCAGCCTACCCCATTCCAAACGCCCAGCCTTGTAATTAGAGTGGCCAGCATAGAAGGCGCGTTCTATTGCACCTCCAGTAAACTATAGCCTTCCGGAAGCCATTCAACTTAGGCAGTGTCTTTCTTCCCCAACAAGCAACGTAATGCGAGAAATTGTAAATCATCAGTTGTTTTAATGACACGGAAGACAAAGTCAGGCCTGCGATATTAACAGGATCGCATACTCTGAACACAGTCTTGCCGCGACTCGGGGAGTGTAAATCAAAACTTAAAACCATTAAGCAGACGACAATAAAAAGCCCCAGTCGAAGGGACTATCCGTAGTAAGATCGTATCTTCTCTGTTCGCCGAGGCGGACGACTGCCGCTGTGATGGAAATGATGGGCGAGGGGTATGGGGTGGGGAGATAGGTTGTGTGGGGATAATATATGGCTTGGAGGAGGGGGCGGGGTTATACCTATCCTTTACCTATGACGTTTATCACTATGATAACACCTGCACTGTCTAAAGTGATCTGAATGTGATATCGGGTAGCCTTGTTATGACTTCGTTGAAGATTCAGGACGGCCGCACGATCCCCCATCACGTCTCAATACAGGGGGCTGTGGGACGGCGTCTTCTCTATCCCATGTCTTGCAGGAAACGGGTGACGTCGAGGTGTTTCGAGATAAAGAGGTGGATGGAGTGACCGAGTGGCTGAGGAATACAGTTTTACGCCGCACTACCAATGTTGCATTCAATACTGTGTTCATCTGTACCGTAGTGGAGAGATGGTTTTGGTTGTGCGGAGTGGTTGTGAGTTGTTATCGGGTTGTGGAGAGTTGTTATTGGGATGTGGTCGGGTTGTGGTGAGTTGTTATAGGGTTGTGGTCGGGTTGTGGTCGGGTACAGATGAGTTGTAATCGGGCTGTGGCGAGTTGTTATCGGGTTGTGGTGAGTTGTTATCGGGATGTGGCGGGTTGTGGTCGGGTTACAGATGAGTTGGTATCGGGTTATGGCGGGTTGTGGTAGGGGAACTGAGAGTTGATATGTTGACACCGGGTGGTGATATCGGGGTGCGTTGTATTGTTATCAGGGTACTTACTGTTAATATCAAGGCGTCTTGAGTTGGTATTGAGGTGCAGATAGTAGGGTCGGGGTGTGGGGT